GGATATTTTTGGTTCCTGGAGAACTAGTTACACTCACACCAAGACTGAGATTACATCCACGCTAGGCTGGCTAAAACTGAATCACGGAAGACAACAAAGAAGGGGTCTATATTGGTTACTGTGTACTGTCTTAGTAAAATTTGACAAATAAATTTAATGCAAATGGTGCAAATCAGTTGAAACTGTGTTCAAGCACCGAACTACTAAATACATTACAGTGATGTGACAAACTGGCACAAACTGGAAAGAAAAAGAAAGAAACAACTGAATGTGTTGCATTTAATGCTGATTTACATAAAGGTACAAATGATTAAGAATTTGTCCTAGTCATTTTGCAAAGTGTATTAAGTATTCTCCCCACTTTACAACTCTTTGCACAACTTTTTAAGGGAGTCTGGAGATGTTGCGGTTACCAGTTCATAGGTGAAATCAGTTGAAATAGCCAGTGTGTTCCCAAGCATCTGCTACTCATCTCAACAGGTAAGACAGCCCTAACATGTAACTAAATCCAGAAATCAGACAGCAATGTGTTTCATGTGTACTTACAGGGTTGGGTAGATGGTACTTCAGTGTGGCCCAGGACACATTTGCATATGCATACACCATATGCAGCCCAGACCACCTCCAAATGCGGTCTGAATGATCAGGCAATGCATCATTTACATCTGTACCTAGAGCAGCCCGCTTGTTATCAGATCACCCAGACAAGACACTGTTACTGCCAGGTGTAAACGGGGCCATTCACAGCAAGATAGAGATTACATCAACACTAGGTCAGCTGAATCTGAATTACTTTCAGGTAGTTCTCTATCTATAAACTCTTGATGAAAGGAAAACGGCTAAATCTCTTCTTCTTTGTTATTTTTTTTTGGTTCCCAAACAACACAATTAGGCATTACAAACAAATGATGGTAAAGGGTGGGGCACACCGCCTCAGTTCTATCACTTCCTGCTGTCCTTCACCTATAATGTGTTTTAGTGCTGCCAAACTCACAATTGAGTTGTTCTCCTCTACATATTTTCTTGTTTTGTTTTGAACAAGCATGAAACGCTGATTTGGTCTCAGCTCTTAAGTGCTACCTGTTAGCCACAGTGAGCAGTAATTCCTGTGCTGCTGCGCTGGGACTTTTGATCAATCAATCAATTTTATGATTGCAAAGTCGTCAGAATAAACATAGAAACTAAAATATATTGATATTTTAAAAAAGAGACATAGAGGCCCTTAAACTTGATGCACATATAATCTTCAACACCACTAAAGTAAAACAACAAGAGAAAGTGGTTGATTTCACGTCATCACGACATGGCCCACCACAATTTTTACTTACATATTCTTCCTCCTCATCCTTTTTTACTTTGGGTGATTTCAAGACGAATACATAACGTTCAGTCATTGACAATAACAACACACACAAACAAGTAGGAGTGCAACAGTGCATGAACACACAAGCAGGAGTGGGGCATTTGTCATGTCATGCTTATGATACGAGTTAAAATGAATAATAGGTACATTATGTATTTCTCTGTATATGCTCTGTATATGCTGTGGTTGCTAGAAGGACATTTATTTCTGTTGCGCTGTGCTCACACCTTCCTCAAAATGTAAATGACCCAGATTCTGCCAGTGCTTTTTTTCCCCCCACAGTCCCCAAACTAGTAAGTCAAAAGAAAAAGGGAAAGATGTTGTTCTTGTTTGTATGTATGTGTGTTATCAGAGCCCGTGGGCCTCCGTTCGCCTCTTCCAGAGCTACAGCCCTTATCGCAGACAGCTTTGCTTCGACAGAGTCACCGTCTCCCACTCACTTTCCTGCGGCTGTGGCCCCCGAGGCAGGCTACAACCAGATACAGGGCCCCTACCGAGGGCCCCATTGTCTCTGTCAGCATACTTTTAGCTGAAAACCCAGGGCGCTCTCCGAGCTCATTGTGAGTGAGCTAACAGCCTCTCTTCAAAAGGAGCTAAACGCATGTTCATTAATTATCTGGATCCTTGTTAATTGGATTAATTGTTGAATAGAAAGCGTGTTATTAAAAATGACGAAAACACAAGGGCAGGGGGAGCAAAAGGGGGGATTAATATCATTTCTGTTTACTCTCGGGCTGTCAGAAGACACAAGCATGCACAGGCTCACACACACACGTTTAGGTATGCTCTGCCTGTGTCTCTTTCTCTCTCTCTTCCTCTAAATCTGCGTTTCTATTTCGCACACATATCAACACGCACACAGAAGCCGCATGTGACCCAACTCAGAAGAATGAGCGTTAGGCAAGGTGCAAATTACCATGCGCACCGCCGAGATAAGAACTAAACCCATTTTCAAAGCTCAGAATAAATGCCAGATTCTTTTTGATGCAAGAAGTCTGTGACTTTTTCCATCGCTTATATTCAAAGATTAAGGGAGGAAATAAAAGAGAAACATAAAGTCAACACCATGAACAATTTAGCTATCTCCAAGTCACATGAAAAATGGGGTTTCTCATTCCCTCTGCCTATCTACACACTCTTATCCACCAAAATCACTTATCAGTGTTTGACTTCAAGGGATGTTTTATCATTGCGGCTTTAAGATAGTGCGCTGATACTGCCGACCATTTGGATGACAGGACTAATGTTACATGTCCTGTGTAATTGGTGGAGGTGCAAATGACAAACCATTATGCAAAAACCCTTCGCTATCTGTGTTTTGCTATGGTCACTGGTTGAAATTATGATAATTAAATGGGATATACCCCCACACTCAAGCAGACAATGGATTCGCTAGCGGGGCACTTCAGATATTACGCTGTTTAATCTAACTGAGGAGCATAATTTTCATTTTCATACACAGTTATAAACAAAAGTTCAAATTGAAATCAAAGTTTTAGAAATTATCATTTTAAACAAGTGAACTGATTCCAATATAAATGAAGACAAAAAAAGTAATCTGCGTCTTTGTATTGCTACAAGTATTTCTGCAACCTTCCCCAACTCCAGTGATTAATATAATCAGGCTTATCAGACCTGCAGACGCCTATGTAAAAGCTTTCAAAATGAACAACTTCATTTTCAAAAGTGTCTCATCTGCACCAGACTTGGTTCGTCTGCAGCTCAACAATGATTATAGAAATAACATACTGAAGCAGACTGTGCAGACGTTGGCTGAAGGGCAGAGAAGCAGGATTCAGTGGATGTGTTGCACTGGTTGTTAAGGCAACTATATCTGTCTCCCTGCTTTGATGTGGAGGCTCCTGTCGCCTGCTACACTCCCAGATGCTGTTATTTGGGGCTAGGA